GTCAAAAACAGAGTGAAGTTCAAACAAACATGCCCCAGAAGTTCAACTACTTCACACAGTGCATTTTTGTTCGCGAGGAACGCATAAATTATGATCTCGCCATTTTTTAATTTACCTCAAAACGACAGAAATATCATTTATGTAAGTTCAAGTCCTCGGTCGGAGAAAGTTTAAAAAATTATTGTGAGAGACGTTTGTACAAAAGGAATATTATTTGTGTAACACTAACGAATGGATGAGAAAATTACAAACAAAAATACGTCACAGAAGTTCAACGTGAAAACAGCAGGAGGTTCAACTACTACGCTGAATGAATTTTAGATGAAAAACTTTTAAAATCGTCGCGAGTATGAAAGGATGATCAACACGGGAAACTTGCGTGCTTACAGCAGCTTTCCATCGGTATATCACCTGCTCAATTCCGGTGAATGGATGTAGAGTTACAAGCAGTGGATGGAGACCTACGAGCAAAAAAATCTCATGAAAAACATAGTGAAGTTCAGGTACACGCGCCGAGAAGTTCAGGTTCTTCACGCGGTGCATTTTCGAAGAATCTGTTACGCGATAAAGGCAGAACGCATGATCCCGCCGTTTTTGAAATTATTTGAAAACAGCGAGGAATCACAGAAAACCGTCAACATGAAAAAGTTTCACATTTTCCGTAGCTTTTCAGCGGTATATTATTTGCCCCATTCCGATAAAGTTTGTCGAAATTACAGGGAAAATACGTTTTTCGCTATTTTCGAAACTGACTTAAAACCGTAAAGAATTGGGAGAAATAATACATACCAAAAAGTTTCGCATTTGTTCAAGCTTTCCAATGCCATATCATTTGTTGCATTCGGACACACGGTTAAAAATTACTCTTAAACCATTCAAAATACGAACTCGGTAGGACTTGGACCATTTTCTAAATTACTCTTAAACCATTCAAAATTAGAAAAAAAACTTGCAAGATGAAAAAGTAGCGCATTTTCATAAGCTTTCCAATGCTGTATCATATGCCTCCATTGGATTAGCGATTTAGAAATGACATCGAAAAAACGAACTCAGCTATACGGTTTACGAAATTTTACATCTTTTCAAATTACTCTTTAACCATAGGGAATTAGAGAAAACTTTCAACATGTGGAAGGAGCGGTTTTGCAGCAGCTTTCCAACGTCATATTATATGCCTCATTCCGATAAACGGTTTAGAAATGCGATCGAAAATACGATTCACGTTTTTTGTGCGAAGAAAAAACGGTTTTCAAAACTGCTCTTAAACCGCTTATATTTTGCCAAAAATTTAAGTTGGGTCATGATATTGGGGTCCATAGCTTTCCAACGGTATATTGCAAGCGCCATTTAGACAATGTTGGCGGAAGTTCAACCTAGTTCACAGGGAAGTTCAACGTAGTACTAGCGGGACAGGTCAGGTTGTGATCAGAATATTATTCTGATCCCGTGATCAGAATAGTGTTTATATATATATAGTCATTGATCTCTTATGCTAAAGTAACAATTCAATCACAATTTCAAGTATGAATCATAAACTTCATTGAGGACCAACAAACTCTAATCTCAGTCATTGAGGCAATTGCAATTTATCATAACATACGAAAGAGTCAATATAAGAGCTTTTCAGCAAGTCCACATACTCAACCATCTTTTAGTCTTTCATAATTGCTAACACTCACGCGATATTTATGGTGATGAAATTTTAGTCGGACACAGAGAAAGACAGAGGCTTATAGTTTTGCCTCTCAACATTTTACCTCAAGGGTAATGTTAACAATAATAGTTCATGAAAACATACATCCAATTAGCTATATATATCAGGATCTTTCCAACACATTGTGCTTGCCAAAGGATAAAATGTAAAAAGGAAAGGTGAATATCACCATGACTCTTTGCATGAAGTATAAGACAAGAATAAAAGATAGGCCCTTCGCAAAGGGAAGCAGAGGTTGTCATGCACTTTTATGGTTGGATGCACGAAATCTTAATGCAAAAGAACGTCACTTTATATTGCCACTTGTGATGTGGACCTTTATTATCCAGTCCGTCGCTTTTATTTCTTCCATATCACAAGATCGTATAAAGCTTATTTTCTCCACATTAATAAGTCATAACATATTTAGAGAGAAAATTTTATTGCTTGCACCGATGACAACTTACTTGATGGATTTTACTCAATCCATAGGTAGATATAGTGCACTCTCATGGCAAAACTAGATTTAGGGAAATTTGGAAGCACAAGTAGTATCTCTACTTGGTGCAAAGAAATTGGCTAGCAAGAGAGAGAAATACAAACTCAATATGTTGGATGATCCATGACAATATAATTTATCTCAAATGTAAGAAAACATAACCCATTACGTTGTCTTCCTTGTCCAACGTCATCTCTTTAGCATGTTATATTTTAATGAGTGCTCACAATTATAAAAGATGTTCAAGATAGTATATTTATATGTGAAACCTCTCTTTCTTTATTACTTCCTATTAATTGCAACGATGACCAAAACTATGTTTGTCAACTCTCAACCACTTTTATTCATCATACTCTTTATATGTGAGCCCATTACTCTCCATAAGATCCATATGATCTATTTATTTCTTTTTATTTTATTTTATTCCCTTAAGATTATAACTAAGTAATCAAGCCCTTGACTCAACTAATCTTTATTATATATAGCTCACGGACTCGATTACATAAAAGGATCATAAAGGTAAACTCACAACTAGATCATACTAAACCTAATACTCCCTCCGTTCCAAAATATAGCGCGTCCTCGGTTTCCGTGCTTCAACTTTGACCATTAATTTAATCAACAAGACCGACTGCGGCGGGCGAAAAAATTATACCAATGAATTCGTATTCAAAAAAAGTTTTTAATTATATAATTTTTGATCCCGCCGCAGTCGGTCTCGTGGGTTAAATTTATGGTCAAAGTTGAACCTCGAAAAGCGTGGGCGCGCTATATTTTGGAACGGAGGGAGTAGAAGACACCAATTTGTTTTGGTCCATTAAAATTTAGTTCATCAACCTAGGCTAGTTTTGCTGCATGATTTTTTTACCAGTCCTCGCATTAGAGGCAAAAGCTCCCCCCCATCATGTTAGAATCCTGGCTTCGGGACAACGTGATGTTCAGCCTCGCATCGTGGCCGTGGAACCAGACTTGCCAACGGTCATACTCCAATGCCGCGAGCTCTGCCGTTTGAAACGACCCGATCCATTTCCACTAGTGGGTCTCCAGGTCTCAAAGTCCAACTGTAATCTTTTTTTAGAAATGGAGGAGAACCCCCAGCCTCTGCACCTGGACGATGCATACAGCCACTTTATTAATTATTCACACAAGACCTTACGAGGTCATAAAACAGTAAGACTAAAACCATCGTCTAGGCAACATTTGTCGCTACTCCTATCCAGTTGATATAGGAATGCTGATAGTCTGGGCCTAATACCAAACAGACCTCACAGCCAAACCTAACATCTAAGACCTGAGATCCCAACCAGGACGCCTGCTGGGTATGAGGCACCCACTAGTCCGGCGCACTCCTCAATCAGGACGCCTGCCGGGTATGAGGCCGCCGCAACCACCTGCCACCAATCCATCTTTAGTTATGTACTGCTGCATCTAACTTGCCTGGTCTAGCTGCCGTCGACGCCACCATGACACCAGACAACGTCACCATCCTGCGCTCGTCCATCGCCACACGTCCACCGGCGAGACCCCGCTGCTCCATGCCGCTGAAACCCGCCGTTGTCGATGTACCAGATACCACGCCGCTCCTTCGACGTGAAACACCACCTGCTGCCACTGGTCCCATCCCCTCCGCCTGCAGTTTATCAAACCGAGCACCCAGACGCCCCAGACGATGCCTCCAAGAAGGGTATGACACACGCATTGCCGCTGCCACCCAATCTGAGGAGATTTAGAGTTTTCACCCAGGCATGGGGTCAGGGTGGAGGGCAAGGACCTCAACGGCACCTGCAAGTAGGAGAACCGCGACCCTGGTCGTTTCCACCATCAGTATGAACGAGTCATCCAGAGTTTCGTCCGGTCCGATGTCACCTCTACCAGCCCCCGCGAACGCACCGAGGCCGACGACCGCGTTCGTAGGCCACCAAATGCAGCGGGAGAGAGCCTGCAGCGTGGAGGAGATCCACCAGCGACTCACGGCCCATGCGGTCAAGACGCCGTCCATCCACCCATCGCGAATGTCGCCAGCCGAGGGCGCCATCGCCATGCCTAACGGGGCCGCCGCCCTTGGTCCAGGTTCCTCCATGAAGGCCGGAGTGGCGAGATCCGCCGCGAGCGACGAGATCCGGCACCGCACGGCCGACGCCATCGCCCAAGCCCGCCGTCGACCGATCCCACCGCCGCCAGGAGCCCGCACGCTGCCGAGAGTCCCACACCCATGGATCTGGGCACCCGTGCACCGCCGTGAGTCCGCCGCCTCCGGGATCCGCCACACCGTCGTGAGGGCCGCACCCCGCGGATCAGGATGTCCGCCCCGGCGTGGATCCGAGAACGGGAGGAGAGACCCTCCGCCGCCGCCGCCGTCGCACGCACGGGCTTTACCCGGTGCCAACCATCGGCAGCGGCAGAGGGGGAGAAGGGCTCTGGAGGGACTAGGCGGCGGTGGCGGCGGAGCCCTCCCGAGTCACCCGCGGGGGAGGCGACGCAAGAGGGACCATAAAAAATTCAAGAGCAGCTGATACCCCAAAAGGAAAGCCAGTTCATGGTGGTGAGGTCCTACGGGGCCAGAAAAAAACTTGCTGCTCGCTGACCCGTTTGACTTTTATTACATACACACTCGTGCTCTGATTGTAATTGTACAGTCCTCCACCGTTTCGACTTCGGATTACGAAACAGGACCTTTTCTGTTCGTGAACGACACGAACCAAGCAACATACCACCGCGCCGCCGAGTATATAATATACCAGCAAACCATGGCAAAACTCCCCTCGTCATTATAATAAACCGTGGCTCCGTGACCAACGTAAACGTGCCATGGTGGATTCCTCCACGCCAAGTGCAAGCAAACGGCACGCCATGGCGCCGGCCCCTTGGTCCGACCTCCACAGCGAGCTCCTCGTGTCCATTGCCGCCACCGACGGCGTGTCTCTGAGAGACTACGCATCCCTCCGCGCCGTATGCACCACGTGGCGCGCCGCCCTGGCGCCACTGTCGTACCCGTCCCTTCTCTCCCTCGTCCAGGGTCGCCGCAGCCACAGCGCCTCCGTTTTTTCGCTCCCGATGCGGCGCACCTTCCACCTCCACACGGGGTCCTCCGCTATCGTCGACCCCGAATGCAATTTCTATGGCCGTGCCCATGCTCGACTCGTCGGCTCAGGCAACGGCCGCTTCGCCATCGCCATCGACGCGCGGGGCACCCGGAGCACGACGCTAAGGATCATCCTTGTCGATCCTCGCGCCGGCAACATGGTGCAGCTCGGATCTCCGGCAGGGGGCAAGGCATCCGTATGCAAGATCGTGTTTGCTTCAAACAAGAGCCTGAACCCACGCAACCACAACGACAACTGGAGAGCCGTGGCTCTGTACGACCACAACAGCAGGGTAGCGTACATCGATACCGGCGGCGGCGGCAGCACTGAAGACAAGAAGTGGACGACCGTCAATGTCGCTGATGGGAATTGCTACGACGACATGGCCTTCAACGCCGAAGGGGACAGGGCGTATTTTCTCAGTTCATGTGGCAACGTGTACGTCCTCCTCATGCCACGCGGCGGCCGGCCGGCGGCCGTAATCGAGCCCTTGGCGACCCTCATGCATGACCCCAACCCAACCACCGCCTACGCCGCGCCCTACGACGTTGTGTCCCCAAAGATGGTCACCAAGCACATCTTCCTCCGCCAAGGCAGCCTGTACCAGGTGTGGAAGAACACCAATGCCAACGTCAACATGGGCAGCGGCTACTTCAGGATGTCTGCCGACGAGATTTTCGTCCTCAGGTACGACACGGAACGCTGGCCATGCTGGGACGTGGTGAAGGATCTAGGAGGCTGCTCTGTGTTCCTCGGCAAGAGCAGCAGCCCGGTCGTGGTGCAACCCGTTGTCCCAGAGGTGAGAGCTGATTGCGTGTACTGGATAGACTGGCTGGGCGTTCCGATGGTGTGTGATATAGCTACCGGGGCCTCCAAGCCATGGGTGCTTCCTAATTGCATGTGCAGAGGTGACTGTTGGTACTTCGGTCATGACGACACGACGAGCATTGATGTTTGAGGTGTGAGGAGAAGAAGATTTGACTCTTTGTACATAATTCAATGAATGAGAATGGGATTATCATGGTTCCAAAAAATGTGCAGGTCCACATGGCTATCAAAATTGTATTCTTTCCGGCAACCACATCTTTCCTACCACTGGCAGAGCTTTGTCCAAGAGCTCAGGAGCGCTTGCTCATGGCTGAAAATATATCTTCTACTCCCTCCGTCCCATAATCTAAGACATTTTCTGACACTCGGACTGTTTTTTTTTTGTTATGAAAAACACAAAACAAGCATGTTCTCCTTACGATGATTTTCATTTATAGGCGATTTGTTTTCTTCTTCTTTTTAATTTTGTACGAGGGCAAATGATAGATCTTAGTTATTATAAAGAGAAATACAGAATTTAATGCACAGTGGGTGAAATGATGCGCTTCTCGCGATCTCTACTTATAAAAAATATTTTGGGCATTCCTTTCTCCATTGCAAAAGAAAGAGGAAAATATAAGGTTCGGAGGGGAGAGGCTAGTGACCGAGGACGTTTTCCCTTCTAGTTTTTCTGCTCCAGTTGTGTTGTATCTTAAGTGTTTAATTCCAGGTCTTAGCACTTGAGCAACTAACCTGGGTTTGGTATGCTGTTTGGTGGTTAGCGTTTTCGTTCAGGTGGTAAAACATGAGCGGACACATGATGTGTGTATACATTTATTAGGAACGAGACGTATCAGGATGACTTGACTCGGTCTAACAATAAATAACTGCTGGTTTGAACAAGGGAAACGTTTCCCCACGGTGCGCCGGCCGAGCGTTTGGGCCGGTCGCGTGTGAGTCGGGTGCATGAAATTGGATCGTGCTGGATCCTTTCACGCAGGAGGGTGCCACGACCACGGCCCACGTGGGCTGGCCGGCCCACGACTGCGTTCCGCTTGCTTTATCCTCTCACATGGGTGTCTCAGTTTTCTCCGTCTCTCGATCCCATCTCTTTCTTTTTGCTTCATGATGACGGCGAGCCGCTGCGACCTCGGTGATGTGCAACGGAGGCGAGGCGATGTGCGATGGGGGAGCCACCACGCATCTCGTTGCAGCCGAAGCTCTGGCGAGCTCCGCCATGGCCGTTGACGTCTCGTGCTAGAACCAACACCACCCATGCTGATACCAGCCACCGTGATTGCTGGAACCGGCATCATTTTTTGTTACAACCGATGAGTTTTTTGCTGGAACCGGCATCTCGTACAGACTTCTGTGACCCTCGACCGGACGGTGGTGGAGGCATTGCAGAACCGCTGCACGCGCTCATGCTACAACCGCTAACCAAAAAGCTTCAAACAAGATGAAAAAAGTTTCAACCAGATATATGAAAAGCTGCAAGCAGTCATTGCCATGGCGGAATGCTACAACCGTCGACATAAAATGCTACAACCGTCTTCGTTTTTTGCTGGAACTAACCAAATTTTGCTGCCATGTCTTTTTGATGGAATCATTTTTGTACCCCTTACTTTTGCTACAACAGTTTTTGTTTTTTGTATCGGCATTGTCGTTTGTTACATGCTTTTTCATGAGATTGTCGAGACCCTGCGACTGTGTGTTTTGCTACAATCTTGTACAGTTTTTTGCTACAACCTCGTGTATTTTTTGCTACTACTAGAGACGCCCCTAGCTGGATCACAAGTTGTTTATGCTACAACCATTTTGTGGTTTGCTGCAATCAGTGTCAATTTTTGCTATCACCGGCTTCTTTGATTTTTCTGGAACCAATGCTCGATTTTTCATTTTTGCTACCACTAGCGTTTCAGATTTGCTGGAACAAGCTTCAATTTTTGCTACCATCAGGTTTTTGGTTTGTTGGAACGGCATCAATTTTTTCTAATTTTGCTCCAACCTTTTATTGGTTTTTGCTGGAACCGTCAAGAATTTTTGCTACGATCGGTGAATTTTTTGCTGCGACCGGCAAATTAAGGACGAGGAACAACACGAGCTCTACGACGGGTGCTGCAGCCGGC